CATTATAACAATATTCAATCTACACATTATAACAATATTCAATCTACCCTTCCTGACGTGCTGCATGGTACTTTATTTTTCTTTAAATTATATGATGACTGAAGAGAGTGCAGGGAACATTTGCAAGGGTTATAACAAAATTCTGGGGTTGTTGGTGTTAGCAGGAAAGAATAAAATCCTGGGTTTTGACTCTTTTCTCTTGAAGAAGGGTGATCTCATCAAGCCACATATAATTGTGCAAGGCTCAGAATCGTAGAACCTCGACAGTTGGAAGCAGGTCACTCAGCCCTTCAAATCCACACTGACCCTCTGAAGGGCAGCCTCCCACCCTAAACCTGCACTTCCCATGGCTAATCCACACAGCTTGCACACAATAGGCAAATTAGTATAGCCAATGCACACAACCTGCACATCTTTGTGCTGTGGGAGGAAATCTGGGCACCCAGAGAAATCCTGTGCAGATATGGGGAGAATGTGCAAACTCCACACAGACTGTCACATGAGGCTGGATTTGAACCCAGGTCCCTTGCTCTGTGAGACAGCAGTACTGATCACTGAGCCACCATGATACCTTTTAAATAAGAGCGGAAACAGAGAAAAAGTTTCCTTTTGTGGGAAAGACCATAACTAGAGGCCATCAACGTAGAATAATAGCCAAATAAAAAATTCAGAGAAATATCTTCATCCAGTGAGTGGTGAGAATGTGGAATGCACTCCAACAGGGAATGATAGGGGTTGAAGAGGAGGCTAGACAGGCATTTGGAAGAGAAGAAAATAGAGGTTTATATGAGAAGAGATGGGAAGAGGCTCAGGTACAGCATAAAGGCTTATACTGACTGTTCGGGCCAAGTACCTCTGATTTTGCACCATGTATCCCAAGTAATCCTAAAAGATAACTTGAATCAATATCGTCAGGGTCTAAGAACAGTACAACTCAGGGTTGCCTATCAGGGTAATATGTTCAAGGCTTGTTAGTAAAAGCATGATTTTTATGAATTTGTTTTGGCAGTGGAAATTGGGGTTATACTGGGTTTGGAGTTGACAGGAGGAATTAAGTCAGTTGCTTGGTATTGGCAGTGGTTTAGATCAAGTTGATTAGGTTTGCCAGTGGGATTGGATTAAATCAGCTATGGTGACAGTTGGATTGGATTAGTTTGAGTGGGTTTGACAGTGACACCATGTGATATAAGAGCAGAAGTAAGCTATTCAGCCCATCAAATCTGCTCATCATTTAATGACATCATGGCTAATCTGAATATCCTCATTGTCTTGTTTTATCTCTTTTAACCCTTGATTTCCTTAATGGTTAAAAATCTATCCTTCTCTGCCTTGAATATACTGTACGATCCATCCTTGGCAGCCCTCCATGGTAAAGACTTCCAGAAATTTGGCACCTTCTCAGAGAATAAATTCCTCCTCATCTCTATCTTAAATGGCAATTCCTTATTCTGAGATTATGATCTCTGGTTCCAGACTCTCCCACAAAAGGAAACAACCTCTCCACATCATGAATCCATAAGGCATTGAGACAGAAGTAGGCCACTCAGCCCATCAAGTCTGCAGTGTCATTCAATGAGATCTAATCATCTGTAAATCTGATAATCCTCAACTTCATTCTTCTGCCTTTTCTCTATAAATCCTGTTACCCTGGTAGATTAAAAATTTACCTCAGCCTTGAATAAATTTAATGACTCAACCTCAACAGCCCCATGCAGTAAAGAATTTCACAAATTCAATATTATCAGAGGAAAGAAATTAATTTTTTTATTTCTATATTAAATGGGCAACCCTTTCTTTTGAGATTATACTTTTTTATTCCTATACTCTCCCACAAGGGAAAACAACGTTATTTCACATCTACCTTATGAAGCCCCCTAAGAATCTTGTCTGTTTCAATAAAGTCTTTTCTCATTCTCCTAATCTCTAATGAGTATAGGCCCAATCTACTCAACGTCTCCTCATATGACAGTCTCTCCATACTCAAGATCAACCAAGTGAACCTTCTCTGGATTGTCTCCAATGCTAGTCCATCTTCCCTTAAATAACGGGCCCAAAACTGTTCACAGTATTCCAGGTGTAGTCTAACTAGTACAAGTTCCCTCTATTTGTTTACTCCATTCACTTTGAAATAAAGGCCAACATTGCAGTTGCCCTCTCTACTATTGCCTGAACTTACTTTTTTGTGAGGGTGAGTTTGACAGGACTGTCGGATTGGATTAATTTAATGACTGTTGACAGTTAACATTATATCAGGATTGTCATGAGCAGCAAATTTGGGCCGTGGCTTCTGATGAGAGTTATAATAATGAAAGCAGCTCCTAATTTGTCATTGATTATTTTTGATCCAATTCTTTTATGTAACTGAGCTCCATGTTACGTGAAAGCAGACAACTTAATTTTCATGGACAGTTCTGAGGAAGGGTCACCAGACCCAAAACGTTAACTCTATTTTTTCTTTCACAGATGCTGCCAGACCTGCTGAACTTTTCCAACAACTTTGTTTTTGTTCCTGATTTGCAGCATCCGCAGTTCTTTCAGTTTTAACTTAATTTTCATTTCTGTTCGCTCCGAGATAAGGCTTTCCTGTTTTATTATGCTCAACTTATAGCACTGGTTGTATTATGCCTTAGAAACAGATGGCTTTCACTTTGCTACAGATCAAAGGATCATTTTTCATCCTTGATAATGTAGGTACATGTGCTATCTAGACAAATGTGAGAGCCAATTTGCACACAAAAGCCCACAAAGAGAAATGATCAGTTAACTTGTGTTATTTTTTGGTAAAATACGACAAAGAACTGCAGATATTGAAAATCTGACACAAAAATAGGAATTGCTGGACAAACTCAGAAGGGATACTGACTGAGCTCCATTATGTGATGATATGCTAACATTCCTGAAGTTCTGATTCAGAGACAAGAATGTTGCCCATGAGCCAAAGCTGATACCTTGGTACATTATGATGATACCTCAAGACAAAAAGCTAATGAATGATTTCCCACAAAACTATAAAGGCAATCATGAAAGATGTGTAGAGCAAAGATGCATGACATCTAGTGGAAATAAATCATTCTAGTTCAGTCTTGATATTTTATCATTTCTTTATTTGAAATGAATCAAAAAAATGGATTTTAGTGATGAGGAATTCCATTGTTTTATTATTTAAGACCTCATGTGTACCCTTTCTGCATTTTGTACTACTGGTCCTGATGTAACTTAAATTTGACATTAGAAGGTAATGTTAGATGGAGGTAACATTCCGAGTCTACAGAATGGAAGAGAGCATTGGACATCAAAACTAGTATTGACTTCTGACTACATCTGACTTCTTTATTATGACACCCAATTTCTCACATCCTTTCTATCACTTGTAAGGTTTTGGTTTGCAATCAGTTATTTTCTGATTTTTAAGTGATTCAAATCACTCCCAGATCCCTGGTTCTAGACACTGGACTTATTTAGGGAATGTGAAATGAAGAAGGCAGCAGACAGGTATTTCAGGGCAAAAGAATTTCTGTGTTTATTCGCAATATAAAAAGATAAGTACAACAGAAGAAATTATAGGTAAATGAAATAAACAGGGAAATTGACACAATCAAATATGCAGAGGACAGTAATGCTATTAAATATACTATTAGCGAGATTAAACACTATTAGAACCTAAATACAGCAGTTTTAATTACAGAACTTTTAATCAGGCTTCCTACCCTAAGAGTCCCAATGCACTGTCACCACCCACCTTCCCCTCTCTGCTACCTAGGTCAGAACTTTGGGTCTTGGGAGTTTCTGCTCAACGTTGAGGAAAACCTGGTTTTAAAATGTATCCAGTTACTGAGGTTCTTCCTGTCAGTTCTCTTGGTTCAGAACAGGCCTGTGTCTGGAAGCTGTTGTTCGGATAACACTTGGTTGCCTCCCCGCCCCCCAATCTCGGATGTCCTTTGTCCCAATGATGCTGTTGGTTTGGCTTTTCGAATCAGTTTCTCTGTTCGACCTTTGTGTTCTTGGTTCCGAACCTGCTTGTTGGAGGCTGGAGGCCTGTGGGGAAGCTGTTTGTGTAGAAGCTTGTTGTTGAAGGAAAATGAGGCTATCCTTTAGGTGAGATCAGAGCTGGCAGTTATACAGACTGTGTGCCCTCTGATCTCCCCTCAAATTTGTTTTGTCCATTATGTTTCTGGTGTATCCGTCTGAAGTGTATTGGTTTCCTGAGCAGTAAGAGTACCTGTGAATGATTTCTGATTGAAGTTGAATGTCCAGTATCTCTGTAGGTCCCATACTGTCTGTGTTGGGTAGCCTGAGGTATAAAAGTTAGTCTCTCTGCTCCTATGATGCTGCTTGGCCTGCTGTGTTCATCCAGCCCTGCACCTTGTTGTCTCGGATTCTCCAGCATCTGCAGTTCCTACTATCTCTATAAAAGTTAGTTCCAGTTGATTGTGCTCTTAGAGGTGTAAATTGGAATTTCAGACTGAACAATGGCTCCAGGCAGCCATCTCAGTTCGGAATTGTGTTTGTGTATTCTCAACATAACTCATTCCAACTTCCATTTGCCTTTTAAAAGTTTTGAAAAGTTCAGGGTTTTGTCCAGTATTTCAGATGATGGGGATATTTACTCAATGCTGCACATTCCACTGATCCATTGCATGTCCTCAGCTTGGTGTGGAGAGAGGAGGGGCAACAAAAAATCTTTAAATTTGTAATATAAATAAAAGAAGACCAACTCTAACCCACTTCTGATTGGTGAATGACCAGTGGTGCATTTGTTTACAATGCTTGCCATGTGGTAGAGGTGCATGATTATACTGATAAAAGCTTTTAACATTGATATAGCTTGAAAGGGAAGACAGTGATCATATTTTATTGGTGTTTACACTTCTTTGTTTTTTAGATACCCTGTTCAGGAGTCTGGGCCTGGGGGCAGTTGTTGGTCTTGGAGTTGCTGCACTCTTGTTAATCCTTGTCATCACTGATGTTAGCTGCTTCTTCACAAAGCAATGTGGATTGCTGATGTGCATCACCACAAGGATTTGTGGGAAAAAGAATGGGTCAAGCACCAAAACCAAGGATGCCGAAGAAGGCAAAGCAGCTTATCTGTAAGTATGAGACAAAACAGTTCATGTGGTCCAGCCTCACAAGCAATAATTTGCCATGAGGGTCTTCACGAAATAATCTCGCCATCAGTGCTACAATAATGTCAATCTTAACATCACAGCCTCACTTCAAAAGACAGCCTCATGGGTAACCGCATTGTAGAGCATCTGCACTCTGTTCGCGACAAACAACAACACCTTCCAGTTGTGAACCACTTCAACCCCCACCTCCCACTCCCTGGGTGACATGTCCATCCTGGGCCTCCTCCAGTGTCACAATGACACCACCTGCAAACTGGAGGAGCAGCACCTCATATTCAGCCTTGGAAGCCTATAACCAAATGGTCTCAATGTGGACTTTACTAGTTTCAAAATCTCCCCACCCCTGGCCTCATCCCATGACGAACTCTCCCTCCCATCCCCGCCTCCTTGCCTTGACACAACCTGTCCATCTTCTCTCCCACCTGTCCACTCCTCCCACCTCACTGACCAATCCCCACCACTACCTACCTGTACTCACCTATCACCATCCCACCTACCTTCCCCAGCCCCACCCTTCCTCTATTTATTTAGGAGCTCCCTTCCCCCTCCCTCATTTCTGAAAAAGGGTCCCGACCCGAAACGTCAGCTTTCCTGCTCCTCTGATGCTGCCTGGCCTGCTGTGCTCCTCCAGCTCCATGCTGTGTTATCTCATGGTTAACCTTCCTATTATCAGCAGCAACTCTCTCACTTAAAGGGAGTCTTATTATCGGGGGTCCTATTAATCAGAGACTTCCAGCATCGTGGAACATAGAGTCTCACCAGCACAAACCTTGGTATTTTCTCCATTACTTGTAGAATTTGCATTCGCAAGGCATGAAGTAAAGGAAAATTAGAGGTGTGAAGTTGACTGTCTTGCAATGTCTCTGAAATTTCTGAATGCTGTCTCAAAAGATGTAACTAGCCCAATTCCTCCTAAAGCAGTTGCTTTTCTGGTTCCAATTCTGAGTGGTAACAATCTATGAACAGTCAAAAAAAAAATTTACACAAAAGTGAGGACAGGAGTCTAATGGTGTACGGTCGTGTCCCAATCTCCGGGCCAACAGTTATGGAGTCAAGTTCCATCCACCTTGGAAGCTTGCCATAACAAGTTGATTAAAAGTAATACAAAGGCAAGGGTGTAAAGCTACAATTAACCTTGTACAAGAAAAAAAGAACAAAGAACTGTTGATGCTGGATCTTAGAAACAAAAACAGATATTGCTGGAAAAACTCAACAGATCTGGCACCATCAGTGGAGAGGAAGAAGAGTTAACGTTTCAGTCCAGTGGCCCTTCTTCTGAATAGAATTAACCTGCATTATCAATTCTTCTCTAATTATTAACACCTCCCGGCTGGAAGTTATTCCATTTCCCTCATCCATTTGCCAGTGAGTAGAGTTCTGATACTGTTGGTGAGCTTGGCAGGACAGATGGTTTGCGATGCAGAATGATGCCAACACTATGGAATCAATTTCCACACTGGCTGAAGTTACCGTGAAGGCCTCTCCTTCTCTGCCTCACACCTCACCTGAGGCATTGTAAACCCCAAGTTAAACCATCAACAGCTATCTCTCTCTAGAGTTATAGAATCATAGATATGTACAGCACAGAAACAGACCCTTCAGTCCAACTTGTCCATGGGGACCAGATATCCTAAATAAATCTAGTCCCATTTGCCAGCATTTAGTCCATATCCCTCCAAACCCTTCCTATTCATAAAGCCATCCAGATGCTTTTTAAATGTTGTAATTGTACCAGTCTCCAGCACTTCCTCTGGCAGCTCATTCCATACACGCACCACCCACTTTTAAATCTTTCCCCTCTCACCTTAACCCTATGCCCTCTAGTTTTGGACTCTCCCGCCCCATGGAAAAGACCTTGTCTATTTACCCTATTTTGAGCCATGGGGTGGTGGTAATGGCCTGGTCGTATTATCACTGGACTGTTAATCCAGAGACCCTGATAACATTGTGGGGACCTGGGTTGAATTCCTGCCACGGCAGATAGTGGAATTTGAATTTGATAAAAACCTGGAATTAAGAATCTAATGATGACTAAGAAACTATTGTTAATTATTGGGAAAAAACCCACCTGGTTCATTAACATCCTTTCAGGAAGGGAACTGCCATCTTTACCTGGCCTGGCCTACATGTGACTCCCAACCCGTAACAATGTGGTTGCCTCTTAACTGCCCTCTGGGCAATAAATGCTGCCTAGCCAGTGACGCCCTCATCCTGTTAATGAATTTTAAAAATGGTTTTATAAATCTCTATAAGACCCATTGCATCCTGGTAATGACCTCTTACAACCTCTTCTTTCAGGCAGAAGATACAGAAGCCTGAACACACACATGAGCAGGTTCAGGAACAGCTTTTTCTTAGCCATTATCAGACTGATAAATGGACTCTCTAGCCTCAAATAACGCTAATCTTGCTAACACTGATCTCGCCGAGCATACCCCCTGCGCAATGTACGCCTCTGTCTATGTATTTTCAATCTGTACTTCCTTTGCTTACTATGATCTGCCTGTACCTCTCGTAAACAAAGCTATTCACTGTTTTTCGCTGCATGTGTCAATAAATCATTCAGTCAGCCTCCAATGCTCCAGTGAAAATAGCCCCAGCCTATTCAGCCTCTCCCTACAGCTCAAACCCTCCTGGCAACATCCTTGTAAATCTTTTCTGAAACCTTTCAACTTTCACAACATCCTTCCTGTGGCAGGGAGACCAGAATACCACACAGTATTCCAAAAGTGGCCGAACCAATGTCTTGTACTGCTGTAACATGACCTCCCAACCACTATACATCATGCACTGATGAATAAAGGCAAGCGTACCAAACGCTTTCCTCACTAGCCTATCTACCTGCAACTCCACTTTCATGGAACTATGAACCTGCACTCTAAGGTCTCTTTGTTCAGCAACACTGCCCAGGACCTTATCCTTAAGTGTATAAGTCCTGCTCTGAGTTGCCTTTCCAAAATGCAGCACCTCACATTTATCTAAATTAAACCCCATCTGCTATTGCTCGACGCATTGGACCATCTCATCATGATCCTGTTGTACTCTGAGGTAATGTCCACCACATCTCCAATTTTGGTGTCATCTGCAAACTTTTTTACCATACCTCCTATGTTCACATCCAAACCATTTATATAAATGACAAAAAGCAGTGGACCCAGCACTGATCTTTGTGGCACATCACTGGTCACAGGCCTCCAGTCTGAAAAGCAACCCTCCACCACCACTGTCTGTCTTTTACCTTTGAGCCAGTTCTGTATCCAAATGGCTAGTTCTCCCTATAATCCATGTGATCTAACCTTGCTAAACCAGTCTACCATGAGGAACCTTGTCAAATGTCTTACTGAAGTCCACATAGATCACATCCACTGCTCTGCCCTCGTCAATCCTCTTTGTTACTTCTTCAAAAATCTCAATTGTTAGTGAGACACGATTCCTCACGCACAAAGCCATGTTGACTATCCCTAATCAGCCCTTACCTTTCCAAATACATGTGAATTCTGTCCCTCAGAATTCCCTCCAACAACATGCCCACCACCGATGTCAGGTTCACTGGTCTATAGTTCCATGGCTTTTCCTTACCACCTTTCCAAATCAGTTGCACCACATTAGCCAACCTCCACTCTTCCAGCACCTCGCCTGTGGCAATCAATGAATGAAATATCTCAGCAAGGGGCCTAGCAATCACTTCCCTAGCTTCCCACAGAGTTCTATGGTACACCTGATCAGGCCCTAGGGAATTATTCACCTTTATGTGTTTTAAACCATCCAGCACCTCCTCCTCTGTAATATGGACATTTTTTAAGATGTTGCTATTCTTGTTCCCATGTTCCATAAATTCCATATCATTCTCCACAGTAAATACTGATGCAGAATACTCATTTATTACTTTCCCCATCTTCTGCAGTTCCACACATAGGTGGCCTTGCTGATCTTTAAGATGCCCTATTCTCCCTAGTTACCCTTCTGTTCTTAATGTATTTGTGCAATCCTATTGAATTCTCCTTAACCGTATTTGCCAAAGCTATCTCATGTCCCTGTTTTCCCTCCTGATTTCCCTCTTAAGTATACTCTTACTGCCTTTATATTCTTCTAGGGAGTCACTCAATCTCTGCAGTCTATACCTGACATATGCTTCCTTCTTTTTCTAGACCAAAACCTCAATTTCTCTAGTCGTCCAGCATTCCCTACACCTACCACTCTACCCTTCACCCTAACAAGAACATACTGCCTCTGGACTGCTGTTATCTCATTTTTGAGGGCTTCCTATTTTTTACCCATCCCTTTACCTGCAAACATCCACCCCCAATCAACTTTTGAAAGTTCTTGCCTAATATTGTCAAAATTAGCCTTCGTCCCATTTAAAACTTTAACTTTCAGATCCAGTCTATCCTTTTCCATCATTATTTTAAAACTAATAGAATTATGGTCACTGGCTCCAAAGTGCTCCCCCACTGAGACCTCAGTCACCTGACGTGCCTTAATTCCCAAGAGGCAGGTCAAGTTTTGCCCCTTTTCTAGTAGGTATATCTGCATACTGCATCAGAAAAATTTCTTGTACACACTTAACAAATTCCCATGGGAGAGCTGCGTTATGGCTGTTTGGAGTTATGGTGACTTTACTTAACAACATCATTCAGATCTCAAATAGCAGAAGTACAGAACTTCGTGGAATTATTTTTATGCAGCAAAGAATAACAAATTTGCAATTATGATAATGAGGATTAAAATGCATGAATAAATTTGCTTAATTAAGTGTTTGGCTTTTTCCTCACAATTTAAAAACTGTTAAATCAAATTTTTATTAAACACGCTAGATACATTGGTCAAATGATGAAGAGCATGCAAATCAAGTTTTTCAAATTCATTATAAATGAGGCTTCTGTGACTAAAACCACAACTGCTTGTTAAAGGGGAATAACTGTATAAACACATTTTCAGTTTTACAGATTAGACGCTGAATG